TGTCGTGGTGAAGAGCGATCCGTTTTCAGCAGTTGGTTTTCCTGATTTATATATATATATAGTATATGCTCGCAGTCACTCTAATAACTCGCCAGTCATAAGTGGCATCATACTCGAAAACAACTCTGAACGTTCGACAAAAGAAAATTTTCAGAACTGAATGTTCGACAAACATAGTGATTAGGGTAGAAGTTTGCTTTTCCGAATGATAGCTTGCAATCTACAATTCGTTCAAGGCTATCTAGATCATTTTAGTGTGTAACTGTATAATTGAAACACATGCCTTGTGCTACTTTTTCTACAATAGCGAGAGAAGTAAAAAATCGCACCACTCTGGATGTATGAGAACTTTTTACGACCGCCTCAAATTATACTTGCGCGATAGTTAGTGTACTACAATCATACCCAGTGAATATGGCTGAACAACGAAAATTGAGGAAAAGCAATTGTGTTTCAGTTCACAAAAAGAAAACAATCACGAAAAACTAAATGAGGAATGACTAACAGTGAAAATACCTACAAAGTATAAGTAGGACAGAGAACAAAGTATGGCAAGAAGCAAAACGTGAAATCACGTACCACTAGGTTCATATTGGACGGTGAAAATGCCACTGATGCCGGCACACTCCGTGATCCCTTGAGCATCAGAGAAAGAGGTGCCAAACATATCTGCTATGCTTAGCACTTCCACACACAAACAAGAAGCAACACCTGAACCAAGGTGAGGGAGTAAGCAAAGGAGAGAAAGGTAGGTTAGCCTGATCAACCTAATTAGCCATAGCTATGCCTGAACCGGCTCAAATATGTGCCTATTTAATTCTAAAACATACTTCGGGCGCAAGGTACACAGCCGTGACTGTTGACGAATTGAAAAAAGATGACGTAGTGGGAATCATGCAAGCTTGATAAACAGCAGGATAAAAAAAGAAACACAAGCATGGTGTTAGCAAGTCATCAGATAAGAACTGTATTGGCATCCCTTGCCAAGAATAAAAAATCCAACCTTGAACAGTTCAAGAAAGTAGCTATGAACGAGTTCACATACAGATTTAGAAGAAATGAGTGACCGAATTTGGATGCAGAAGCTGCCGTCGTCTATAGCTATGATCCCCTCCTAGTATCTCATCGTCTCACCGTCCGACAAGGAAGGGTCGCAACGGCCTTTCTAGTTGAGATGTATACGCTGTAGGTGGCTTTTCGAACGCTGATTTCAAATCTGTGTTCCAAATCCACTAAAAGTTTCTGAAAACGAAGTTACGGGATCTGTCAGTGAGCAGGTCAGTGATCTGCACTAGGAAGAGGAGGGCGTTGGGCGGGAAACAGACCGCATAAAAGGGGGGCAGGAGATGGAGTTGTATTCTGAGTTTTTTTGAGTGACCGTCCCGTCGTTCACTGACTGAGTGCGTTTGCTTGTTATTGATTCGTTTCTTTGCAATAAACGAATTAATACAGTTCGGTGTATTTCTTTCCACACGTTTCGCGTATCGATACCTCTTTACCGAACCAGACGTTCGGTACATGGGGGCCGAACCGCTAGAGGGAGATATCGATCGTGAGACATACACCGGACTGGTGAGGCCGAAGAGTGAGAGAGGCCGCAGACCAGAATTCAGTAGTCAAGGATAGGCTCGTCACTAAGGGGCGATCCTAAGAAAGGTTGTGAGTATTGATTGAAGTGGAAAGAACGAGTGACTGGCGAAAAGCGCAGTGAGTGTGAAGCTGAAGTGAGAGCTCGTATTAGCGCCACTGTTCTTCGTTTATCGTGTTACTGCTCGTTACTCGTATTGTTCTTTTGCCGCCGTTCTTCGTTTATCGTCGGCATAGTCAAGGAAATGGATAATAATACTGTGTGTTCCAGAAATATGGCGGAGAATTTAGCGGGCCCAGCAGGCTAGAGTCCCACACTGCAGTTGAAGACACGGCACCGCAGGTGAGTAACCAAGCTGAAGAGTTTTCAGTAGTTGAAATTGGTGAAGAGCTAGAGAGGGTCTTAGTGAGGATTAGGCAGATACCCATCAGAGTAGGGGAAGAATCGGAAGAGGCGCGTATAGCGGGGAAATACAGAACCAAGTTGTTCCAAGTACTGGAAAGTGAAGCCAGTGACATAGGCAAAATGCTGGAAGACTTGAAAGCTAGCGTAGTGAGATATAAGCAGTTTGGGCGGGAACTGTTCAGAACCCTACGCACTAAAGGCATTGACACAATAGATGATCTTATAGAGTATTTTGATACCACAGAACGAGATGGCGAGCTGATTGCTGATATATGCGACATGTTTCAGACTAACGGTCGGGAGGTTCGAAATGTACTTGGAGAGGTACATCGCACCGTGCGTCAGCAATCACACCGAAGCCCGCCAAAGGAAGATGATCAAATGGACACGGACACTAACACAGGTGAATTGGAAAGACAATCCCGTAACAGGAGTTTGGGGGATATAGAGACAGAATTTCAGATGAGAAGGAATTCAATGATGTCAGCAAGCCAGACTGGAGTGCCTTACGGTCTACCCTGGAGGCAGCGTTCGGAGAAATTGGAAGGACAAGCAGTCAGCACATCAGGTCAGGAAGCTTCAAAGTTTATGGCTTTGATGCAGGCGAATGCGTGCATAGGTCCTGGGTTACNTTGGGTCGCCAGGCTAACCCCTTCTGCAGATTAAGTGATAGGTCTATGGAGTATGCCCAGATCCTGCTAGACAACTTGAAGGAGTGGCCGGAGCATATTCACTTGCTGAGTACACTTCATAGGGTGGAGCCGAGGGAGGCCTATAACGCAGTGAAGGAGTTAGCCCTAAACATTGAACAATCCAAACTAATGTGGTCAAGTGAAGGAGGGCGAAAGTATGATAAAGGGAGTTGGAAGCAAAGAGCCGCCACCTACTATGAAGGGCCTTCAAGGACACATAGTGATAAGCTGGTCCATTCTGAGGCCAAATACGAGGTGGGACGGCCAAAGACAGTAGATACCGTGAAGCAGGACGCCCAACGTGCCCCAAGAGAAATTCCAAATCTAAACACTGGTAGAGCTACTGAAAGCAGACGAGAAGAGAAAGGAAGTAAGGAGCAAAGGAGGTGTTACAACTGCTCCAGATTTGGGCAAATTGGCAAGGACTGTCCCCTGAGGGGAACCGTGGTGAAACAAATTGCTAGGAAACCTCCGGAAAAGGGGCAAAGAAGAAGTACAGCTGTGGCCCAAATAGTTGACAGAGTGCGAAGCCTAGGCGTGAAAGCGGTTGAGCCGTCAGAGGTGCCATTGGTAGGAAACATGGTGCCAGCGTGGGCTCATTTGATGGAGATGCGGGTTCCAGCAAAACTGGACACAGGGTCTATGATAAGTATTCTACCTGTGGGACTGCTGGCACGCGCTCAAAAAGAAGCGTTTGATATGGAAAAGTTAGAAGTGTTGCCAGAGGAATCGATGGTGCCGGTGTACGATGCATCATGCAATCGTATGAACTCCCTGGGAGCTATTAAGATGCGAGTGTACCTAGAAGGTGGTAACACTGCTATCGTAGCCTCCCATATTGCAGACACAAATGATAAGGATATCCGCTTAGGAATGAATGCGTTGGATCGATTAGGGGTACAGCTGATAATAAGATCTGAGATTGGATATAATAATACAGAGAAGGATGCGAGAGGTGTGACTGTGTTGAAAAGGCTCCATGTGCCGCCGCACGGGTCGGCAATCCTTCATGCGCATTGTGAGTGCGAAGGAGAGCAACAGTATGAAATTGTCTGGCCAGGCAAGGGTGGAATAAAAGCTGGAGTGTTTAGAATTCACAATCAGAGTCTCCAAGTGCCGGTCATCAATGAAAGTGATCAACCCATGATATTTCGAGAAGGCGAAGAAGTAGGTAAATGGGGAACAGAAAAGTGGCGTGAAAACTGGGAATAGCTTAACCCCTTGATGATGGATAACGAGAGTCAGGAGTATAGTGAGCGCGAAAGAAAGCTAATATTCCAGGAACAGGTACGGGAAAGCGCAAAGGTAGAAAGCTTAAGCGAAGACTTGATTTCAGTTTTGGAGGAATTCCCTAAAGCGTTTTCTACATGTGATAGAGAGTTAACAGGGACTAGTAAGGTAGAGATGGACATTGATACTGGAGAGAGCAAGCCCATCAAAATGAAAACTAGACCAGTTCCGTATGGAATCAGAAAAACTGAAAAAGTTGTTGTATAACCTAGAAAACAGAAAAATCATAGAGAAAAGTTGTTGGGAGTGGGCCTTCCCGATTGTGTTAGTAGAAAAGAAAGATGGCAGCTTAAGATTATACGTGGACTATCGGGAATTAAACAAGAGAATCAAATTCGACTCGTACCCGCTACCTGGCATTGATGCAGTACTACAGAGCATGCCAGGAAAATCGTACTTCTCAACTCTGGACCTCTGCAGTGGGTACTGGCAGATACCTCTAACAGCCGAAGCACGGGAGAAGTCTGCGTTCACTACGCCGGAGGGACTCTTCCAATTTCGGGTCACTCCACTCGGTCTGGGTACGAGTCTCGCTGTTTTTCAACGGTTGATGGATACAATTTTGCGAGATCTTCTTGGCGCTGAGGTATTTTGCTATATCGATGATATCATCATCTGCATAGACACGAGAGAGAGGCATATGGACCTACTGAGGGAAGTCTGCACGAAGCTGCAGGACGCGGGACTAAGGTTGAAAGCTCAGAAGTGCGTCCTTATGCAAACTAAAGTAAATTTTCTCGGTCACGTTATTGATAGGGATGGTATTCACATGGATCCGACAAAGGTAGAGTCGATCACTAAGTATCCGGTCCCGAAGAATGCGAAGGAACTAAGGACGTTCTTGGAAATGGCGTCGTTCTATCGTAAATTCCGCCTCGGATTTGCTAAAGCGGCAGAAAGTTTGTTTTCGTTAACATGCCCTAAGGCAACATGGAGATGGACTGATGAACACAGATTGCTTTGTGAAAGTCAAGGAAATGATATCTACGTCACCAGTGCTTAGCCAACCCAACATAGAGAAGGCAAGGGACGGGTCCAAACCGTTTGTAATTTGTACGGATGCGTCAACGGTCGGTTTAGGAGCGGTTCTTTCTCAAAAGGGTGAAGATAAGCAACTGCATCCTATATATTTTGCATCAAAAGGCCTCAGTAAGGCTGAGCGTAGGTACCACGTAACAGACTTGGAGGCATTAGCGGTGATGTTCGCTATTAGGCGATTCCACATGTTTATCTATGGACTACCCACGATTGTTTTGACTGATCATCAGCCGCTCACAGCCTTATTCAATCGTACCAATGTTTCCGCAAGAGTTCTGCGGTGGTCATTAGAGATACAGAGATATAGTTTGGTGATAAAATAAGACAAAGGAAAATCAAATGTAGTAGCGGACGCGCTCAGCAGAGGAGCAGCAGTTTGGAGTGGTGAGGAACCCATCCAGGAAATAGGCGACGCGGTGGTTAACACCGTTCAGGTAATTCAGAGTAAGACAAAGTGGATGAAGGAATTGGAGGAAGACAGCGAAATCGCCCCTATGCTAGAAGCAGTAGCTCGGGGAGATGAGAAAAGGGTCTTTCTGTTGACGGGACTGAGAAATCCGGTGCGCGCTGCAGATTTCATGATAGAGGAAGGTGAATTAAAAATGTTTAAGAAAGATGGAACTTTGGTGTACGTGGCCCCAAAAAGTGCTCGCTATGAGATCTTTCACGAAGCGCATGCAGGAACATTTGCTGGGCATTTCAGTGCTCACAAATTGTTGAACAGACTCAAGGAAGAAGTATTCTGGCCTACCATGGTTTAGGATATCAACAAGTGGACAAGGGAGTGCCAGCGTTACTCCGCGCATAACGCAAGACCAAAGATAGTAACTCCATTAAAGCCAATCGCTACCACGAAGCCATATGAGATAGTGGGTATTGACGTGCTAGAGTTGGGAAACGCGACAAGTGGCGACCACTATGTGATTACGGCCATTGACCACTTTTCCAAGTTCGCTGCGGCATACCCGGTTCCCAACAAATCAGCAGAAACGATAGCGAGAACCCTCTTTGTGCGACGGACCGCGGAAGGATGCCGCTGGCCAAAGGTGATCATGTCTGACAAGGGGGCAGAGTTCGAGAAGCGGGTAATGGAGGAGTTGACAAAGATCACGAAAATCGAACAGATAACAGCGAAGGGCTATAACCCGAGAGAGAATGGTATTACGGAACGATTAAATGGAACGATAGTAGCAATGTTGCGACGTAGTACGGTGGTTCCTGTGGAGTGGGACGTAAGATTGCCGTTTTGCATATTCGCATACAATATAACACCGCATCAGGCAACCGGTGAGAGCCCATACTTTATTTTACACGGCGTGGATCCAGGTTATCCATCGGGAGTAATTCCTAACGGTGGAGTGTCGTTGTATACGATGGATGAAAGTAGGGACGATTATAAGGCACAGCTATTGCAGGCGATGGCTGAAGTTCACGATAGATTTAAAGAATGTAATGAACGAATACGAAGAAAAATGAAAATGGAGTATGATAGGCGAATTAAAGTTGACAGTAGCAAGCATCCTAAAGTGGGAGATAGGGTCTATATGTTGTCTCCAAGAGAGAAGGCGATGAGCGCTCATCCAAAGCTGACCTGTGATTGGGCTGGACCCTTCCGAGTGATAGAGGCAAGTGGGAACCCAGCGGTCATCAGTACCATAGGGGAAAACGTAGAGCCCATACGTGTGCAATTTGACATGCTGAGGATTGTACCGCCCTATATTTCCGACGATCGTATCGATACAGTAACCAGTAGAGGAAGAAGGGGGAGAAAAGCAAAAGTCGCGTAAACAAAGTAAGTACTACATGTTTCGGAGGCGCCGAAATCCGCGCAAAGAGCGACAAAGGTCATTTGGAATACACTTGTGGAGACGGCTGCCTGAATGATGTGAAACTCGGCGAGCTCGCAGGAATTCAGTTTCCAGGAGCATTTTCGCAGAAGCCGATGGGGTCGCTGTGGAATGCATGGAGAGCGGCTAGCATTTTCATTCGCATGGACCTGGACATGGCGTCGAAGATAAAATTTTGGAAGGATGGCGCAGTATGTCTCGATGAAGAAGCTCTCCAAATTGTGCTGCGTGTCGCGTATTCGAAGGGTCTTGACTGGACCGAATTCATTTGTATGACGGACGGTATCAGGAAACACGAGAAGATTGCGTCATATGGATTCGAAAAGACCTATGACTCCGCCCTGAAAAAGCTGAAAAAGGAGCTCGAAGAGGATGAAAAGAAGAAAAGACAGATAAAACAAGGCCCAACTGCCTTTGCAGCTCCAGCAAGTGCTGCGTTACTCGAGAAAGACGGGCCGAAAAGAGGAATAACGACGAGAGTTGTAACTTCGTTCAAGCAGCTTCGGGAGATCCTGACGGAATGGACAACGCATGCCATTTGGATCATTGTGTGGCGCAAAGATAAAAATTTCAAGGAGGAGGAAATCTGTGAAATCGTTAAGGCATGCGGGCAGCATTTGGCCGAAGGAGGACAGGTGGTAACTGCATGGCCTCCGGTCATCGAGAAAAATGTGGAAAATCGGAAGTCGATGGTGGAAATATGGTCTATGTTGGATGAGACCATAAAGAGACAAGGCAGTTCTATAGTGCGGCAGGCACAAAGGTAGAGAATGGTCGAGTTTTTTTTGTGAAATAGGATCACCGGAGACAGCACTGTATTATTTCGGTTCCAATTTTGGCGTAGGTTGTGCGAAATCGTTATATGAGTGCATAAGAAAAAAGCTGAGTGGGACAGTAGAGCTTCCAGAAATAAAGAGAGTAGAGTTCAGCCGATGTGGGAATCGGCACGAGAGAGGGGCGGCATGTCAGTGAGCAGGTCAGTGATCTGCACTAGGAAGAGGAGGGCGTTGGGCGGGAAACAGACCGCATAAAAGGGGGGCAGGAGATGGAGTTGTATTCTGAGTTTTTTTGAGTGACCGTCCCCCCNCCCCCCCCCCCCCCCCGCCTTATTCACAGTAATTCATTTATTTTGTTTGCATTCAGTGATACACATTGTTTTTGTTTGCATCGAATTTCGTTTGTTTGTTATTGATTCGTTTCTTTGCAATAAACGAATTAATACAGTTCGGTGTATTTCTTTCCACACGTTTCGCGTATCGATACCTCTTTACCGAACCAGACGTTCGGTACAGATCAACTCCTTCCTTTCTTCAACTGTACCGAACAGATCACAGAACCGACCGAATTCCCAGCTGTGCAACGGTGGCGCAGGAGGTGGATAGTGGACTAGTAGGCATGAGGGTTAGATTCCCTTACCTCACATTTTAAAAACATCATAAAGGTATTACAAAGGAGGGTTTTCTCGCCCTTCACCGACTCAAAGATAGCTTTTGACTTGGGTCGACACAGCTAGAAAACTACCTCTGTTGGCTTCCAATCAAAAAGAGCGAATTACGAAGATAGTTGACTGTTTAAGAATCAAAAATATCGTTGTAAACTCCTTCTATGTAGCAGCAGCGGAAAATCCGACGTATGCGGAAATACGAGGGCTTTCCACTGAAAGGATGAACCTCTCAGCTCGATTAGAGAACCAAAGCGGCTCACAGAAAAGCAAAGCAAGCGGGTGTGGCACATTAGGAACGAAATGGTGTCGTTGCGGTGAGAGCGGCGTTGCGCGCGAAGGAATGTAGCAGGATGCAGCAGTAGGTAAGAAATACAGGAACAAAAGTACTTATAGTAGAATTATGCATAGAATACTGATCGCATATCGATTGAGCTGTATGAAGAACGCTAGAGCTGTAATAACGGCGAATGAGTGGTCCGCGACAGCCGCGTGCGGCGAATCGATTACCCAAAATCGTTCCTAACGCCCGTCTCCCAAAGCAAGCTACCTTGGATATCGATCAACGGTATACCAGAAATTATCGAAGAGGTCGCTAGTGAGATATCCACGACGAATTTGGAGATGGATGAAATCCTTAACATAAATGAGCCAGTGGTTCAGAGCGCCTAATAAATCACTCAGAACCATGGCTCGATTTGGAAAATGCGTCGAACGATAGAACAGTAAAAGCAACAGCCATCGTGCCACTTACATCAGAACAGAAATTAATGATCAGTTCATTCTTGGGAGATAAACCAGAGCGAAGAGCGTTTTAATAGTTCTACATCTGCTGCATTCTGTTACATTCTCTCTCGACGCGATGTTCCGTTCCTACTGTACCACACCCTTTTCGAGTGGGCGGGAAGGTATTTCGCACGGACTGGAGGCTTCACTATGAGGCAGCGATTGGCACCTGTTTTGGCCACATCATTTATGGCTAAGATTGGAGCCTGCACTAGGATACCTGCCCTTATTTCACCGCAGGTATATCGATGGTTGATTCATAGTCCGTGCGATACAGGAAGGAATAGGTTGAGTTTCGGCCTACTAAACTCACAATCAGAGCACACCAGGTTAAACGGGACCGACCGAGAATAGGCTTCCTTTCTTGGGTATAGGTACATGCGCCTAATTCTTAATGGACACGCTAAACTTTTGGTGATTCAAACAACTCTGACGCCTAATATTGGGGCACAGCTTTAAAGTGGATCAGTTAAGTAAAGCCAGCTGATGCTACATATCTTCCCTGCTTCAATTATGTGCCCCAACGATAGGCGTTAGTGTCGCTTGAATCACAAAGAATTTCGCAGTTGGCCGCGTCCATCCAGAATTGGGCGAATTCTCCGTCCCCTTTTTTAACGTTTAAGTGAGGTTACACTGTGACATGATTGTTACGAAGTGGTATAGAGAGCCCAGCAATTAGAACATCACTGTCCATTACCACTACGCTCATTCTTTTTACATACACGAGCGGTTGTTAGGAATATGTTCATCGTTGCTGAGGCTATGAACTGGAGAGGATGAGCGAAAAGAGCCGCTTAGAATGCCATACGATATAGCTCGGTCAAATGGCTACTACAATTTTCAACTACACGTAGAGCTTCTTCTGATCTCGATTAAAAGACAGATTCCTTCCGTACTACCATTTATTTTTAATGAGGTCAGTTCCTTCATTAGAAAGTTTCTGAAGAGTTAGGGTTCCGAAAATTTAGTTGCTATTGAAACGTACCACCCTTCGATCTAAAGAAGCGCCTTGTTCCAAACAGGCTATACGATCGCCAATGTACAACCTCAATTGTGCGGACTTCCAGCTGGCAGGGATGGAGGTTGTAACATGTCTGGGGTGGTTTACAAAATTATTTGCCGTTAATGTGGTGATGAGTTTATTGGTGAAGAGGCAAGACCACGTCAAGATCAGTTTTGAGGAGCACAGTGATGGTACGAGGCGATTGAAAGGGCCTTCTGCCTTAGGGAGTCACCGAATTGAGAAGCATAACTAAGGCGTTTTCAAGGTCAGTGTGGAGGTCGTGGCACAGGAGTCGCAATGTGCGTATGTAAACCCTTGAGGGATTTTGAATACAGGAAACCAATCCAGAAGTGAATCGTAGGGAAGAATGTCTCGCAATCACGCAGGAGCTACGGCCTTATATAAGGTTGGCCGTCCCGCAGAGGCTTTGAATAAGAACATACCCCATCTGACACTGGTCTACTTATTGCCTCTTGGGATCTGCCTTGCTCAGAGTGGCAACTTAGTACTTATATTGAAGAAACGTTGCCACCGTAACAGGTACATTGTTTCCTCTTTTGCGCTGCGTAGTTGTTGTGATTTGATCTACTGCTACTTTCTTCCTGTTTCGTCGTCGTGCCTTAAACATGGGTGATCTGATGGCTTCCTCTGATAGTCGCAAGAGGGGAGGCATAGATGAGCAGGATGTATCATCCTGGAGTGATCTGCAGAGCAAGGTTGAGGAATTTAGCAAATCCAAACAAGTAAAAAAAAATCCAAATCCAAGTATCACTGATCCTCTAAAGAAGGTTATATGTGCTATGATGAAAGAGTTAAGTTATTTGAGGTCTGAAAATCTTGATTTAAAAGATGAGATTAAGGAATTGCGTAAGAAGCCTGTTGGTACTGTAGTAAGTAATTCTCGAACGGCCTCGTCTTCTCCTCGCAGTGATAGCGATTCTGTATTCAGCTCTACCACTCTATTTAGCTCTATGCCGGAGTTGTATCACAGCTTTAATACTTTCCCTGATGGTTCTATTTTTTCGTCTTTCCGTGAGTTGCTGCACAGTCACAATTTAATGCAGCATGTTATAGAACCGACTAGACTAGGTAAGATTCTGGACCTGGTTCTCAGCAGCAAGCCTGATCCAGTTAGTAGTCTAAGAATATTTTCTCCAGTTGGGTACAGTGATCACAGCAGCATCACTTTTGAAAACGTCGGGTATGACAGCGAGGAATTAAGCACTTTTCGGAGAGTATATTCTGCATGTGACTTTGGAGGTTTACGAAATGATCCTTCTCGCATACACTGGGTCGACTTACTTGAGAGCTGTGGTAGTGTCAATGAGAAGTATGGCCATTGATTACTATGTCCCTTGGGAGAAGGTGACCTCGTTTAAGTCTATTTCTTTACCACGTTATTTGAGAAACATGAGTGAGCATCGGGATTGCCTCTTACTTGAAGCAAGACGAACCAAGCCAAGCATAGTGAATTCACAGGGATTTTCCTCACACGCGTCAGAAAGTACTTCAGTAACATCGAGAAGAATATTGTAGAGTCTCTAGAATCAAACCTTTATAGGTATTTGAATGAAAAATGAATTTGCTGACCAGTTCTCAAAGTCCTTCTCAAACGAAGATGCTAATGTTCCTCTCCTTTCACAGACATTTGCCTCAACTATGAATGAGCTGCCATGGTTTTACGCAGACCAGTTGTATGAACGGATCATGAGCTGGCCCAAGTCTTCTTCAGTCACTCCTGACTTCATTCCGTTATGTTTTATCCAGAAAGTGGCCGATGTTATATGTGAGCCGCTTTCATACATATTCAATCAATCGCTCATGAAGGGGGAGGTTCCTGCACGTTGGAAACACTCTTTTGTCACCCCGATTCTCAAGAAGGAACCTTCCTCCGACCCTGCGAATTATCGACCGGTCAGCATTACATCGTTGTTTTGTAGACTTTTTGAGAAAACGGTTAAAGAACACATACTCAAGTATGCTGCGGCTAACGGAATAATACCACGTGGCCAACATGGTTTTATCCCTGGAAGGTCGGTGGAGACGAACATGATTGAAAGCCTCGAGGACTGGACCGTAGCTCTTGATAATAGTCGATGCTGTGACGTTATATACTTTGACTTCGCGAAAGCCTTCGATAGAGTACCTCACAAAAGGCTGCTCCATAAGCTGAAGATGTTGGGTTTCCATCCCGCTCTCGTAAAATGGATTTCCGATTTCCTCCACGGCAGGACCTTCCAAGTGCGAATAGGACAGAGTTTCTCCGAAAGTAGGAGGGTGCTGAGCGGAGTGCCGCAAGGGGGAGTTCTGTCGCCGGTGTTGTTTAATATATACACAGCTGACATACCTAGTTTGTTTGATGGATTAGATGTTACAGCAAAAATGTATGCTGACGACGTAAAAATTTATAGGGTCATAACTGAAGCGAAGGACCAGGAGCGACTGCAGATGGCGATTAACATATTGAATGATTGGGCTAAGCGGTGGCAGCTCCCCTTAGCTCCACATAAAACCAAGTGTATGACGATTGGCAAAAA